TTTTGGTTGGCTTTTGTATGTTCCAAAGAGAAGAGCCCTGCCTCTCTTTTGTTCAAGTCTTAAATAAGTTACTTTTTAAAAAGTAGTTAATTACCATGTTAATTTCAAGGCAAAGTGAGGGTCTGGTGTTGAGCTGCAGGCTGGCCTTGTACTTAGGATGCATGTCATTGCAAATGGTCAGATGCATTTGAATTGAGCACTTTTGCAACATCCATATTCACTTTTGTTGTTGTTTTTAACCACCCTCCAGTCAATCCTGACTCATGGTGACCTCATGATGAAATGAGACACCTCCAAGATCTCTTGTCCTCTGCTGCTCTGCTCAGGTCTTGCAAAGTCATCTCCTCCATCTATCTAGCATGCGGCCTTCTTCTCTTTCTGCTTCCCTTCGCCTTTTCTAGCATTATGGTCTTTTCTAATGGGTCTTTTCTTTTCATGATGTGGCCAAAGGACAGCCTCAGTTTTGTCATCTTGGCTTCTAGGGAGATTCCTGGCTTGATCTGCTCCAAGACCCACTTGTTATCTTTTAATAATAATAATAATAATAATAATAATAATAATAATAATAATAATTTATTTTTAACAATCGGAGCGGTTTACAACAGTTAAAATTACATCAAACAAGCTTATCTAATCCCATTGCACCTTCTTTGCCCACTTATATTTTCTTTTAGGCTGTCCATGATATTCTCAGCTCTAATGAATTGATTTTCTTCTTATCTGCTTTCTGTGCAGCTCTCACATCTGTGCATGGTGATGGGGAATACAATTGCATTGGACAGTCCTAACTTTCATGCTCAGTTGTAGATCTTTGCTCTTCAGGATCTTGTCTAGTTCTTTCATAGCTGCCTTTCCCATTCCTAGACTTCTTTGATTCCTTGACAACACTCCCATTTCTTACTTCTGTTTCTTCATTGTCTGGTTAAATTTGTCCAGAATCGCTGTTGTCATTATTTTTGTTTTCTTAATGTTCAACAGTAAGCCTACCTTTGCATTTTCTTTCTTGATCTTCCTTAGTAGTTGTTCCAGGTCTGTGACGTTTTCCGCTAGTAGTATGGTGCCATCTGCATATCTCAGATGATTGATATTCCTTCCTCTTATCTTCACTCCTCCTTCTTCTGTGCCCAAGCCTGCTCTTCATAGGATATTTTCTCCATACAAGTTGAACAAATGGGGTGATGATGTGCACCCTTGTCTGACCCCTTTGCCAATTGGGAACTATTCAGTTTCTCTGAATTCAATTCTGACAGCGGACTCTTGTCCTAAAAATTTCTCATTGGGACTATCTGATGTATTGGCACTCCCACGTCTTTAAGCTTTTCATGATCTATGGAGTCACTTTTGCTATAGTCTATAAAGCACACGCTGAGGTTACAACATAGGGGCATCCATTGCACAATGGTGGAAGGCAGGGGTGTCCTGGCCTGATGCCCATTGAGCACCAATGGCACATTGAGATACTCTCCAATGTACATCTGGGCACTGAGTCGGAAGTGCTGGAGCACAACAAAAGGGCCCAATGCACCTCAGAGGTACTCAGTGTGCCTTGAAGCATTTTTACCTAGAAAACCCTGTTATAGATTCACTTTTGGATCACCGTAAATTGGGAGAAAAACATTATAGGGTCACTTTGGGATCTGGTTGGAAACAACTTGAAGGCGCAACACCACCACAACAGCATTGTCTGCCATGCTGAGATCTTCATGTATAGGGTGGAGAATAAATGATAAAAAAATCTTGTGCCCTTTCGACCCATGAAGACTTGAAATGTGGCCTTTCCCCCCTAAAGGGATGAAGGAACATCTGGCCCTTTTCTGCTGCTTCCTTAGCATCATGATGGCAGTGCCCTAGACCTCCCTGACCTTGCACGGAGGGAAGAATTTGTCTCCGGTGGGAAGCTGACACTGCTATGGGCCCAATTTTGGGGGGAGACTCAGAGACTCTGGTCTTTTCTTCTCTCCCACAGGTGGGCCTGCTGGTGAAGACGAATCTCCCCTTTCCCAGAAGCCAGGCCTGGTGGCTGTCATCTGCATCTTCCTCTCCATCTTGCTCATCGGTGCCATCGTGATCATTGTGAAGTGCTACCGGGCGAGGGAACCTGCCTTCCAAAAACTGGATGAGGTGCCCATGGTGAGTGGATGATGGGACATAGGCAGGGTGGGACTGCATCCACATCGCAGAATTAATGCAGTTTGACACCACTTTAACCACTATGGCTTAAGTGCCATGGCATTCTGGGATTTGTAGTTTGCTGAAATATTGAGCTCTGCTCTGCAAGCTCTGCTATGCAAGAGCCAGTGTGGTGTAGTGGTTAGAGTGTTCGACTATGACTCTGGAGACCAGAGTTTGAATCCCAGCTCAGCTGTTGAAACCCATGGCAAGTCATAGAATCATAGAGTTGGAAGAGACCACAAGGGCCATCCAGTCCAACCCCCTGCCATGCAGGAACTCCCAATTAAAACATCCCCGACAGATGGCCATCCAGCTTCTGTTTAAAGACCTCTAAGGAAGGAGACTCCATTATTCTCCGAGGGAGTGTGTTCCACTGTCAAACAGCTCTCACTGTCAGGAAGTTCCTCCTAATGTTGAGGTGGAATCTCTTCTCCTGGAGCTTGCATCCATTGTTCCGGGTCCTAGTCTCTGGAGCAGTCTCAGCCTCAGAATAAAACCCCATTATAGGTTCACCTTAGGGCTGCCATAAATTGGAAACAACTTGAAGGCATGCAACGTATGTATGCAAACTATGCTATGCAGTACTGAGCAATGCTATGCAATCCTAGGGTTTGTAATTGTATGAGCTGCTTAACTTTCCCTGTCAGACGGCTCTGGTGCCCCCAAAGTACTACAGATCCCAAGATGCCATTGTATGGAGTGCTGTCAAACTGCTTTATTGCTTCAGCCACATACCTCTCTTTTGCATTAGAAATGCTGACAAACTGGATGGGTTTGAGATTTGCTGTGCCTGTTCTCTCTCAAATCTCTTTTTCTTTTTTACACAGCAAGGGAAAGCCTCCGAAGATTCGCCATTTGCCCGCTACCCACCCAAATAGCCCACCCACCTTCTCTTCCCACCTGGACATAATAATCCTGGTTCCTGGGATGAAAATTTCCCTGCTGAGACTTTTTGCATGAAATAAAATACCGGTACATGACAGGCCTGTTTGAAAAGGGCTGTTTTTCCATTTTTTGCTACTGATTTTGCTGATCTGAGGCCACCTACAAACCCATCTTCTGGAGCAACTGAGTTCTAGGACTGGGCTTTTATTCAACAGCTCATCTCTGGTAGGGGATACTGGGAATTGCAATCCAAAAAAGGAATTTTCCCAGCCTCTGGCTCTTGCTATTCGTCTTGCAAAATATCCTTATTTTCCAATGACTTGCTGGTTTTAACAACTTGGTTTATACCACCATCTAATAAAATGATTGAACAATCACACAACATATCCACAGGGGTGGCTGCGTTGTGGCTGTATAGCAAAATACAGCATCATCCAAAATCCACAAAGCAATACCTTTATGAGAACAACCAAAATGCATATTGTATAGGATGCAAGCTTTTGAAGCTTCACTGGCTTCTTCAGCAGACAAAATAAGACAGTCAGAATTGTTAATGATTTTTTAAAATATTGTAGTTAGCTACCCTGAGATTTAAAAAAAAATGAATATTTTTAAGGAGCCAGCATTAGTTTGAATCCCTGCTTGGCCGTGGAAACTTACTTGGGGACCTTGGGCAACTCACACTCTCTCAGCCTCAGAGGAAGGCAATGACAAACCCCCTCTGAAGAAACTTGCCAAGAAAACCTGTAATAAGTTCACCACAGGTCTTGCTCAGCATTACGTCTTAACACTGGATATCCCTCCAACTCTCTAACACTGTTAGGCTTTCCTTATCTGGGAATTATAATCACCCAAGATTTACGGCAGCTCCTACCCTGAAACTATAACTCCCCCAGTCAGGTGGATGGGCTTGAAAATAATATCTTAGAAGACTCAGAAGTGCTTTACTCAACTTAGCTACGCAACTATGGCAGTAGCATGTAGAATTCTAACCTTGATTGATTTTTTTCTACTTCACCACTGTTCACTTTGACATAGTAAAACAAAATAAAAACTGGAAAAATGGTAATTCTGTATGGCGTAGTGGTCTGAACATTGTGCTGTGATTCAGGAGACCAGGGTTCAAATCCCTACATGGCCATGGAAAAGTACTGAAAATTGAGTCACACACTCTCAGCCCCAGAAAAACCCATTGTAAGGTTGCCATAAATCAGAAATGATTTCAAGATACACAGCAACAAGAACAATAAATACCAGAGTTTGAATCCCCACTCGGCCATGGAAACCCACTGGGTGACCTTGGGCGAGTCACACACTCTCAGCCCCAGAAAACCCCATGATAGGTTCACTTTAGGGTTGTCTTAAGTTGAAAATGGCTTGAAGGCACACAGCAATAGCTATAACAAATAGGAGGGCTGGATCCTCTCTCGGCCATGGAAATCCACAGCAGGGTGAGTCAACCCCACAAAAAAACCCATGATAGGGTCATTTTAGGGTTCCCATAAGTTGGAAATGACTTGCAGGCACCCAGCAACAGCCACAATAATAATACATAGCTGGTAGTAAATAATATGGATCACTCTTTTTTTCAGAAAAGCTGATGCATGACATGGAAGCCTTTGATAAACATTAAAACTTTGCAAGCTTTTCCCCAGTGCCATCATGTCTGATGGCTTCCAAACAAAACGTGTGCCTTTCTCTGGCCTCTGGAAATGAAGCCACCGCAGGGCTAATGTGTAACAGGGCTGGGGAGTTAATTAGTCACGTTAATTGCTGGGCTCACAGTTCTCCTTGGCCTTGGCATGTGTGCTGGCGGGAATTGAGATGCCTGGTTGCATTGGCTTGGAAAGGGAAGGGGCAGATGGTGCCATTTGTGCCAGCCTCTCAGAAGCCAAATCCATGCCAGCTATGGAGAGGGGTGTGTGTGTGCGTGCCAAAAGCCAGAGGGAACTTATGGATGACTGGGAACCATGAGTGTTTTGGGTACAGGGTTGCCTTTTGCAGAACCCAACTGTGCCACCTGCCAACAGAGAAGCCACCCTGCATCTCCATTTCAGGCCTTCTTTCTTTTCTCTTGGGTCAAAATATAAAATGGATCTTTGTTGAATGATTGCTCCTTTGCTGTCCCACTTTCTCAGCTGCTTTTAAAGTGTCCTGGTTTCTTTCTCCTTCTCCCACTTTCCAGTTTTGTTCTCTGATTACTTCTATTGCAAAACCTCCGACTGTCTGGATTTGGCATGGACAGTCCCAATTAATCTTCTGCCATCCCACTTTCTCAGCTGCTTTTAAACTGTCCTAGTTTCTCTCTCCTCCTCCCATTTTCCCATTTTGCCCTTTGCTTTCTTCCATTGCAAACTTTCCAACTGTCTGGATTTGGCATGGAGAGTCCCGATTAACCCTCTGCATTGCCAATTTTTCAGCTGGTTTTAAAATGTCCTGGATTCTCTCTCCTCCTGCTGCATTCCCCCTTTTGTCCACAACGTTTGCCATCTTGACTGCATTCTCATGTTGTTTGACAACATGTGTCTCGGTTTTCATCTATGAAATATTGGCGAGTATGTTGTAATATCAGAGTGCTGACATCCCAGATTCCCCCCCATGGATTCAATGGATCTTATTGAATTAAGACTTCCAGTTGGGTTTAGGACAAAGTCTATTTGTCTAATGCAGTCCTTCCCAAACTTTGGTCCTCCAGGTTGTTGGACTTTGGTTCCCAGAATCCCTGACTGTTGGCCAAACTGGCTGGGGCTTCTGGGAGTTGAAGTCCAAAAAATCCTGGAGTGCCAAATTACATTGATTAATGTAACGTTTCATCATTAGATGACTAGAGTAACTTTGGCTTGATGTAATGTTTTGTCAAGAACCACATATGGCATGGTGGTTTGAGGTTGAATTACAACCGTGGAGACCAAGGTTCGATTCCCTGCTCAGCCATGGAAACCCACTGGGTAACCTTGGACAAGTCACACACTCTCAGCCCCAGAAACCCCTGTGATAGGTTCACCTTAGGGTTCACTATAAGAAATTACTTGAAGGTGCACATCAATGACAATTTAAAAGATTACCAAAGGAGGCCATGGGTATGGATTTGCAGGAATTAAGCAGAGCAGTGGAGGAAAAGAGGGTCTTGGAGATGTCTCATCCATAGGGTCGCCATGAGTCGAGATCAACTCGAGGACAGTTAACAACAACAACAACTTTGGGAAGCATTTTGTTAGGCCTTTTTCAAGTTTCAGGCCAGGTGTGCTCCTGCCAAATTGGAATGGTGTGGAAGGGTATGTGATAGTGGGTCGGAAGCAGTTGGATTGTGTTTTCCTGCAAGGCAGGGGGTTGGACTGGATGACCTTTGGGGTCCCTTCCAACTCTATGAGTGAAACAAGAAGTGGGCAGTTTGGGGCATTGCAGGATGGTATCCTGTCCAGCTGCCTTCTCTCTCTCTCTCTCTCTCTCTTCCTCTGCCATCCTGCATGAAATTGAGAACCCAAATGTAGCCCCAAATCCACAGAATCCCCATCCAGGGACCTCCTTTTCATGCCAAAGTGGGCCCATTGTCCCCAAGACCTTGGGCTCTCAGGAGTCAGCCAAGAGAGAGGCCTGGCTTGCCCATCCAGGGCAGCGCCATGCATGTTGAGCCCATTCCAAGATTTTTTTTTTAAAGAAAGATAAATGATTAATTTGTGAGATGGGGAATTAACCATCCGCCTTGAGCACTCTAGGTCCCATGACTCCAGTTACAAATTTCCCAAAGCTTCGGGGAGGGAAGGGCTTGGATGGGGCATTTGTGCTAATTTAACCCACCAAGGAGAAACAATATGGGCCTTGGATTCCCTGCAAGACATTAGAAGTTGTTTCAGAGGTCTTCCAACAGTTTCTTGTGTTCATCCAGGGACAAGGGCAAGATCCAACTCTTGGCGCCTCACCAAACTATAGATCCAAGGATTCTGTCAGATACTGTCATGGCACTTCTTAAAGTGATGTCAAACTGCTTTATTTCTGCAGTGTGGATAAACTCTAGGACACAGATACTAATTGATATTTTATAGCTCATACTATTCATAATTTTGTCTCATGTGTTAATAACAAAAGTGGTATTAAGTTATATACATATAAATTATATATATATATATATATATATATATATATATATACACACACACACACAGAAAGACACAAATATATATGTATACACACACAAGTGGCATTAAATTATATATATGTATGATTTATATAATAGATAATTATATATACATATATATAAATTATATGTATATACAAATATATATGTATACACCCACCCACACACATACA